TACAATACATATTTCATCTACTACAACAAAAATTGATAATCAACTGCACTTATTCCCTAGAGATATTTATTTGAATTGATTCAAAGTCCACGTGACTTTATCTTACTCGGAACACGTAAGAAATAATTGGCTCTTTCCTTCGATGTGAAACAGATTTTAACAGGCTTTGCGTAATCATCTCCCATTAATAACATCATCGTTGCGTAATATTTTCCAACAAATATATTCGCAGCTCCTAAACAAGAAGCATCGTTTGAAACAATTATTCGAAGAAGCAATCGCGGAAAAGAGACGATTCGAGGTTAAACAGAAGTGCGAGGAGGAGTTCGAAGACCGGGCTATCGAAGTATACCAAAGCGCCAAAGAGAGGATAAAACAGATGCACAAGAAAGTGATGTCGCAGCGAAAAGAGGACATCGAGAACAGAGCGCGGCTCATAAGTATTTAAATGAAATATCTATTTTGATTCGAATAATAAAATATGTTAAAAGTGGTTTAATTTGACAGGTGAGAGACATCGCGAGTTGATGCAGTCGTCGAAAGCGATAGAGGATGAAATACTCGAGAGGGCTCTAGCGGAGAAAGAAGCTCGTCGCATAGAACAAGAAGAAGCTCGAAGGGAACGCGAGATGAAGATGAGAAAGGAGCTGCGAGACTTCCGTAAAGAAACTGTGGAGAAAAAATCGAGAGAAGTTGAAGAAGAGAAGGATTGGAAGCTGTGGGAAATGGCGCTGAGATTCAAGAAGGCGGAGTCTGATAAACTAATGGATATCGAAGACAGAGAGCGAGAGTGGAACGACAAGATGGAATACAAAGATTCCCTCAGAAGGTCCATTGTACGTGTTTGCTGTTGATTCATTTTGTTAGAAAGTATTTGTTCTACTTGAAATATGCAAAAGTACTCGAACCGTTATCATTACGTTATCATTAATATTTAGATGGAAAGAGAGGCCCAGCTGAACGAGGAAAAATATTTCGAAGCGAAAGAAGCTGCATACATGAAAGAAATTATCGAGAAAGAAAACAAAAGAGTTCTCGATTACGCGGAGGAAGTTATCAATGAATCCACTGGAGTGAGACCGCTGTATCCCATTCTTAAAGCACTGAAGGTACTTCAATTATGCTGCATTCATTTATTTAATAGTAATTAATAGAGATTGGTGCACCTACCGTATGAATTTAAATTTCCCGCGAAAAATTGGTGTCGCCATCTAACGGTGCAGAGATCGAACTATTTTCGGAGTTTGGTCAACGCCTCTATCGGGAAAACGCTCAAGTTTGTCCTCGATAGTTCCCCTTTTCACTGCTAGATGGCGCCACTTTTTTTTACCGACATGTGGTAAACGCATTCATCATCGTCGATAAGAAGATTTATGAAGACCGCCGATAAAGAAGAACTAACTGTTAACTCGATGATACTCGATGTTATTCATTTGATTGTCTTTTATGAAACATGATTTAATTTTGTTTGCCTTTCAAATATTTAAACGCACTTTCTGTCGATCCGTTAAGCAAGAGAGATCGTTTAAAATAAATACCAGAAATTGTTATTCAATCAAAACTTTTACTTAGTCTACATTAAAATATAATATGGGTAAACTTTCCCCATAGACACGTCGATACATTACCATAGTGTGGTATATTGAGTGTAAAATGGCGCCATCTAGCATTGAAAAGAGGAACTATTGAGAACAACCTTGAGCGTTTTCACGAAAGAGGCGCTGACCAAACTCCTAAAATTAGTTCGACCTCTTCACCGCTAGATGGTGGCACCAATTTTCTGCGGGAAATTCAAATTCCTTTTTAATTAATTTAATTAAAGTTCATTAGGAGCATTTGTAGACACTGTCGAGTATTACATAAACCTTCCTCGAGAAAGGCTCTATAAGACAGTAAAAAACCGCATAAAAGTTCTCCAAGTGATCCTAGAGATTAGCTCAAATAGACAGACTCCTACTTGTGATTCAATTTTATACTATTTCTAATTCAATTAATATTTTTAATTCTAGGAATGCAAGAAGGAGATGAATCTCTTACCACTTCGGAAGAAGGAAGAAATAATAGACACCAAGCCTTCGACGAGACGAAGACGTCCTCGTGTTTGCACAAAGATTGTTCCAGAAGAGCAAATCTGTTATTTAAAGTAGAACAAACTAACAGAACACAAAAATAACATTTTATCTGTACATCTTGTACTTTTATATTTAACTTTACTCTCATTTGATACTCGTAATATTAACTCTTGTAATTTAAATATAAAATACATAAAACCACTACACACGTACAAAGTCTCTCTTAATTAAAACCATGTTTGTTATTAATATCCAAGCGTATACTAAATGAAATACATATTACGTATTATGTACTAAACGCATTTGTGAAATATTCTTTGTACTTATCGATGAATCGACTTCACGCGTGAAACTATCTTCCTCAATACTCTTTAACGAATAGATACTCCATTGTCAAATTGCAAATGGACAATGCTATTGCGATGTCTGACGCGTCCTAGGTTAAACATTTTTTTTGCTCGCCCTTTTGTCCGCGTATTTGCGAATTAAAAATTTACACACCGCGACGATCGCGCATTTTACAGGAGCCTCGTAATTCTTTTCTTTCTTTGAAATACCAGTCGGCTTGTAACAGGCTTGTAAACAATTGGAAATGTCGGAGAAAGGTGACGTTAAAGTTCCCAAAGAAAAGAAACCCCTACCTCTGCTGTTTACCTTTATAAACGCTGGACTTTCTGGGTATACAATCTCAACTATTTCAATGTATATTTGGGCCACGTTAATTAGCAATTAATCTTTATGTTAATATTTGTTCTGTACCCATCAGCATGGCTGCCACCTGCGTGGTCCACCCTATGGACGTGATAAAGAATAGAATTCAAGTCCAGAAGGAGAAGGCTTCCATCGGTTCAACGATCGCTTCCATATACAAGAGCGAAGGGTTGCTGAAATTTTATTCTGGCTTGAGCGCAGGTCTCGTACGACAAGCAACGTACACTACTGTACGGCTTGGTATTTATAATCAGCTGCAGGAACAGTGGAAGTGAGTAGTGACGTTCACAGCCCAAAGTTCATTCTATAAACTCTTTGTTAACCTTAATTAGGTATTTTTAATAGGCATAGATACACCGGGAAGCCCAACTTTGGCGTATTGTCGCTCATGGCAGGCACAGCAGGAGCTGTAGGGGCCTTTGTAGGCACTCCTGCTGAAGTTGCCCTTGTAAGGATGACTGCCGATGGGAGACTGCCAAAAGGTCTATAACATTTACAAAGAAAATTATTCCGAACTGCAAGTACTGAAAATACTGCTTCGTATTTGAAATTTACCTTTGTATTTATAGATCAAAGAAGAAATTACAAGAACGTGTTCCACGCGTTTGCAAGAATAGCCAAAGAAGAAGGTATCACCACCCTGTGGAGGGGGAGCGTGGCAACCATGGGAAGAGCTGTTGTTGTTAATGTGTCCCAGCTTGCAACTTACAGCCAAATGAAGTTTTTAATTACCCAAAAAAGTACTTTCTCACTTCTACTGTTACTTAATTTCTATGCTTCGATAATTACACGTTGGGTGATGCAATTGTTACAATTATAAAATGTGTGTTATTCTTCAGCACAGATGAAGGAGGGTGTCGCGTTACATTTTGCTGCGTCGATGTTGTCTGGATTCCTCACTACCTTCAATTCGATGCCTTTTGACGTGACGAAGACAAGGTAGAGTTGTACTATCACTCAAATCAATTATTAATAGCTGCGTTGAAAATTGCATGCAACAATTAATTAAACACTTCAAATCCTTTAACGATTATTTCCGATTGATTTTCAGGATACAAAACTTGAAAAGCACAGGCAAACCGCCTGGGATGATCTCGATGATGACGTCCATAGCGAAAACCGAAGGCATAGCTGCATTGTGGAAGGGTTTCTGGCCAACGTACTGCAGAATAGGCCCCCACACAGTTCTAACGCTTATAATCAACGAGCAAATTGTACACCTATACAGGCGGTACGCAGAATAATTGAAGCAATAAACAATATACACACACACGAATGTGATGCATGCGAGAGAAATTTGATATTCGAAAGAAATATTCCAGAGCACTGAGGAAGTAATGAACTAGGAAACTAAATAATTACTGTGCACAAAATTCTGTAAACTACGATCAATAAACATAGATTCTCGACGAATAGTTAGTACTTGGCTCGTACTCGGTAAGATTCGATATGTTCCCATTGCTCTTGAGAGGATTGTTAACGATAAAAATGCAGTACTTACACTGATTCAAGTAAGTACACATTGTTCTCGATTATTTTAAGAATGAAAAAAATAATAATAAATGACTCGTTACGAGCTACAGTAAAATTCTTTTTTACTGGACCAGACATTCATTCTGGGGGCGGTTTAAATAAATCAGTGTACAGTCGATGCATCTGTTCGACGCATATCATAGTGACGACAGCATTAGGCGCTGCCCTGGAAAAGGACGGCAAGAATCCTCGCCACAACGCTGATGTCCCTTCCTTCTGGGCTACGTTGACCAACATTCCCAGGATTCCTGGTGGCTTCGAGGGTAGGTTCCAGTTTTGTATTCTGTTGGAGATAAACAATCAAATAGAAACGTTTATAGTACATAGTATCTTTTCAACGTGCCTGGTTTTAGCTACATCCATGGGGAGCGACGTGGAGCACATCACCAGGCCAGATATCATCGCTGACAGAAATTGCAGAAACACTCCTTCTTCTATGTACTCTGTAATTATCAAAATTTGAGTTCGAATTACTGCTTTATGTACGTTAACTTAACCAATAACCTCAACTCTAGCCTCTACTAGTACTCTGCAATATTATCTTGGCTTTAACTCAACCAATAGCCTCAACTCCAGCCTCTGTTAGTGGCCATACTTTGCAGTATCATCTTGGTTTTGCTGTACGTGGCCAGCTGCGTTCCATTGACCAATGCTCCCCTCGTCATCGTTGGCATAGCTCCCCTCCACAGTCCACGCACACCCTCGGTCTTCCAAATGTCGAACAACCCCGAGATACCATTCCTATAATTCCATCTCTTCTCTAAAAATTCATCTTCTAATTAGATCTACCATTTCCCGCCTACTATTGCTATGCCGTGTAACAAAATCATTGAAAACAGCTCACCAGGTGGTAGATTCGAGTCAGCTATCATGCGAACCAAGACCAAGTCGGTAGGTGTCCCAACAAACGCGCCCACGATGCCAGAAATCATCCCAATGGCGACCATCGTGGGGTAATTCAAGGTTCCCAAGTTTTTCCTGCGTGTGTATCATTGTTAACTGCATCCATAAATCCATACAATCTATATCCATACACGGTCTATACTAAATTAAGTGAAGCATTGTTAATTTACTGGCTACGTTGATACATACGTACTGACTCAAATCGTACAACGTGGTGTACATCCCAAGTCTGGCGGTGCTGTAGGTCAACTGACGTAGCAAACCAGCAGTCCAGCCATCGTAGAATCCGCGTACCCCTTTATCACGCATAGTGGTCCTTATGGTTTCTTCCAGGGATGCTCTCAAGATTTGCATTCGCACTTTTGTCACGTCCATGGGGTGCGTTACAGTCTGTCCTACGGCTCTGTCAACGTGACACAAGGATTGTTTAATGTTTACTGTCGCAACTGCGACTAAGAAACTTGATTGTTTGATGATCTCTTACCCAGCCACTCCACCAATAATAAAATTAACGAAAGGGGGAACTGAAGGGTTTCGACTGGACAGCAGGGACATATTTCGGAGAATAATTAAAATATGTTTCTTTGGGTTTAACATTCAAATTTATCTAACCTCATCGTGTCTCTTCATTGTTTCAATTCTGAACGTAGTAGAATTTAAATATATTCGAACGCATTCATCCCGTTCCATTTGTGTTTCGTATTTGTTTACAACCATGTACGGGGTGTCTCTTAAGTTTACATTAAGCCTATAAAACGTACTGGTATTTTACAAGTATACAAAACAAATACTAGCTTGAGGTTACATTGTCTTTTACGTGTACAGACAGTGTATTAAGTATTCGTACAGGAACCATTTATTTGAAATGGGTTGGTGTACGAATACTTCTTACACGGAATTTATATGCATGGGTTCGTAGCCAAATTCTGGTAATCCGGGAGGAGTTTCGCGAAAAAGTCTGCAACGCTTGCTAAATTTGTTTCTGGCTTCCTTCTCGATCTACTCGCGAGGGTTTCGTGGAGTTTCGTTAGATTGTCATGTACCATAGCTAGGGTGGTCTTCATGCAGGGCGCTACGGCCACCATGAGACCACAATTCCTAATTTCGCTGTCGTGTAGTATTATATTGGATCCCTGCTTCGTGTTGGCATCGTACGTAATCTACAAATGAAACAGTTCAATCCAAAATTTAATCCAAGCATGATTATTGTATACAGCTTCAATTCTTCAACCTACGCCAGACTCTTCGAACAAATGTCTCAATTTCAACCACGAATAAACAGAGAATCTTGTGTTATACAATTGGGAAACTACTATTCCATATCTCTCCTTCGTTTCGTTCCACTTGGGGATTCTCTGCTGGAACACGAAGGATTTTCTTCCTTGAGTCTCTGCAACTATTGGAACGTCTGCGACGAACTGGTGCTTCTCAGGGCTAGGAAAGATTTGTAATTCTTACTTTGTAAGATTTTGTAATTGTATAGAGTAGAAAGACATACTTTTCTTTTACATTCACGAGTGCGAATATTATTTATTTACTTGTACGTCCCTCCTATGGCAGCTTTCATCCAGTCTACGTAACTCTGCGCGTGGGAATAATAAGGATAAACATTCAAAACCACGACAATTAGTTTTTCATCCCGCTTCTGCGTATGGCAGTAGAAGTCAACAGTCAAGTAGCCGAAGTATCCCTCTGTTTGCATTCCTTTGGCGAACTTGTTTGCCACTGGCTCGAATTTCGCCACATCCAAGGACGTCTGAGGCATCATGTAAACAGGCAGCGAACCGTTGTTTTCTATAATCGAAATCAGTGCGTTACAATTCAATATTTATTATATAAATTATAAAGTATAAGTATATAGAAAGTATTCGTACAACAACCAATTTAAAATAAAACTAATAAGAAAAATAAGAGGTTAACATTAAAAGTATGCAGAAATATTGGTTAATTAATTTTTTCCCTAAAACTTGTTAATAAAGTAAATATATCAAGTTTGATTTTGAATTGGTTCCTGTACGAATACTTATTACACCGACTGCATATGTGTACATACCCAAATGTATTTTATCAGCAGTTCCCAGCCACCTAACTTCCTCCTTAGTCGTTTTCTCAGGAACAAAGAAGCATACCGTAATGATATTGGACTGCTTCTCCTCGGGAACTGCTTGGAGCAGACAACCAAACTTCTGCACATGACCATAGAACTCATTCCAACAAGTATAAACCTTTGAGAGCTGAGTTAGGCTGTACACAACTCTAGGTAGGTGTTCCCTTAATTTCTCAAGGAACTCCTCCCTCAAACTGAAGTGTACCATCCATCCATTGCCAGCTTTCTCCCTCTCCCTTCTCAATATCGGCATAAATGGAACGCTGATATGATTAATCAGAAACAGTCCGCAGTGCTTGCTCTTGGATCCAAAGTTCAATCTCAATAGCCACACACAAACTTCCGTATGAAGTACTATCAACTGTGCCAAAGTCTCGCAAAGGGTCTCATAATCGTGTATATTCTTAGCATGAGGCGGCTGCAGGAGCCCAAGATTCTCAATCATCTCGGACATCTGGGACATGTTGAGAAATCTGCGCTGCAGCTCCATGCCAGGACTCAACAAGGCTACGTCGAGGTTCCCAGCCAATCTCATGTCGCATTCGTCGATGATCCAAGGTAGAAAATAGGCAGGTTTATCGGTGATCTTCCTTCTGATCTCCTTGAGGGACTCTTCGGAGCAATGCAATATTCTCGAGAGATTCATGCTGCATCCACGGAAGGTCTCCGCTTGAGAGAGAGCTACGAAGGTGATACGTTTAGCTACATCCGTCCCTGGGAACATGGACTCGATAAAATCGCTGTACATGGTTAATAGATCCCTGGTAGGCTTCACAGGGAGGATGTAGATCACCTCAGCTTTGGGATTGCAGACGAAGCAGATCCTCAAGCTCGTGGTGTTCTCCAGGAACGCGAGGGTCTTTGAGGTGAAGGTTCTCCTCATCTCCAAAGGGTAACCAATGGAAGGTAATTGCAGAACCACGTGGGGCTCTTGGATTATTGAACTGAAGTCTTTGCTTAGCTTCAGCGAAAGCTCTCGAGTAGCTTGCATGGACGTCAGCATGTGCGTTAAGTAACGCTTGTGGATTTCTCTCTTCTTCTTCAGGGTGATCCAGGACAACCACAGGAGGCTGGCTGCTATGTAGAGGCGATCTGAATCTAGTTTTCTTTTGCGCAACTATGGACAGAGCAGTTTTTAGTAAGATGTAAGAAGTATTCTCATGGGATAAATCTCAGAAAATACATTGATTCATTGTTTATGTATGTAAGATGATTGTTTGTATAAATATGAACGGTATTGCTGATACCAAACGATTGTAAAAGGTATCATTGAAATATTCTTACAGCGATTAGTTATTTATAAATATAAATACTATCACCTATAATTAATATATTATTTAAGTATTTTAATCGAAGAAGAGACATTCTCTCATGATTTATGTATGTGGAATGATTATTTGTATGAATATAAATAGTACTGCTGATAGTAACTCATCGTGAAAGTTATTACTTACCCAATACCCACGCCAAAAGGCTTGTATCAACCTAGCAGCCACATCCTTTCCATGTTCTGCGTGCAACTGCATCTTCCAACTTGTCAGCCACGAAGCGTTCGCGGCGTGTGCTAACAATGGAATCAAGTCTTCTTTTAGCAATAAAAAGTTTGCTCCATTCTCTCGAATCTCTGACATGAAATTCAAGGTTGCGTGGGGATTTAAATGTATTACCGGTACGAGACGCTTTTTTAGAATCTTTTCTATTTGAGGGCAAAGCACCGAATGCCATTTGGATGAATACTGATTTCCATGGATATCTAAGAACTTCAACCACGTGTTGCAAGTCTTAAATTTTCCTTCGATAAGTTTCAGATTGCTTAACTTGGACGTTAAGTTTTCAAGAGGAAAACTGTGTTTTTGCTTGAGAATTTCGGTGAAATCGTTGACTTTGGATGAGTTTGGTTGTTCAATGGTTGTTCCAGTAGCCCTCGTTCTAGGAAAAATTATTTTAGAATTATTATGGTGTCATTTGTCTTAGGTCTGAGAATGATAAAAGGAATAAGCCTTCGGTACTTACAGTTTACTTGGATTTTTTGGTAAGGAAAACACTTTCCTACGAAGGCAAATCATGTCTTGCTTAAATTTCAAATCGGTCTCACTGAACTCTGATTTCGAAGCGTCTTTTGACTCGAGCAGAATATTTCTAGTGTTCTCTAGGCTCCATTTTGGAACGTTTTGCCAAGTGCAACGGCAGAATATTTCCTCCTCGGTTTCATCCGATACAACGCAACAGGTGGACATACTAAATGCTTTTCTTATTTCTCGAAAATTTAGGTGGCTCGGTGGTTGCATGCGAGCCTTTGCAGCCACTACCAAATCAATCTTTAAATGTAAAAGATGTTCTTCGAATGACTGTTCCATTTTCATGAGTTCTTTCAGCAAGTGCTCGTACAAGATTCTTGTGTCTTCCAGAGTCTCGGATTCGTTTCTATACGCAGGTCAGGTTATTATGGACAATACCAAGTCACTGACAGAAGCTAAAAAACTAACCTAGTGTGTTTAAGAGCTTCCCTCTTTTGGCCACCAAGAAATTTCCTGATTGCAGAAATTTTTCGCTGAATCTCCACAAGGGAGTCCTTGACCATTTCTACGTATTGAAAATACGGTTCATCGGTTTTAATCATTTTGGAATGATCCATCATTTTGGCTACACCATCAACTATTTATTCGGCGATGCCAGATTTTGTTCCTAGTTGCCGATAGATGGCATTTTTTTTTTTTTTTTTATCTATAATGTGGAGAAATGCATTTACGCACACCCCCTCGACGGAGGGGGTAGTGTGGGACTCGCCCCTCAGATTGAGGGGAATACCCACTAAAACTCCACGGCTAAAAAAAGAAGTCAGTTTACACGTATGGCGAGAACAGAAGCGAAGTAAGAGGAAAGGGAGGAAGAGGAGGCACAAATATTATAATCGTCGTTAATAAATCGATTGTTTCTTTAAAAAATTAACATTAATGAAAGATCATATTCATGCACTACCCCAGAACTACCCAAGGGCAGAGTGTAATTCTGATAAGCAAGTTACGAAATGTAACACATGGGTAGATAATAAGTTCACGTATAAAAACGCGAACTCGGTAAAAACGCTGAAGGGGAAACTCGCGATCCGATAGGATGTCGTGTGCAACCAATAGGAAATCCTCCAATGAGAAGCGACAGTTGAGCGCGATAGTCGCCACCACATTCCGGATGTGTGAAAGGAGAATGGTTCGATCTCGAAGAAGGGAAAGGAACTGGACCAATCAGAATAAGGGGCGGAGCACAGCTAGGTTCCAATGGACCAAAGGGAGAGAACGAGGGCATGACTGTATGAGATATGAATAGGTGACGGGCGGTGGGATACAATTATACAGGATGTCCCAAAAATGTTGGAGGTCCTTGAAAGGGGTGGTTCGGGGGGTGATTTGAAACAAGTTTTCACAAGTATCAAGCACGTCCGCGCCGTCCTTCGCAAACATGCGACTCTTACAAACATAACGTACTTACCTTTGTCTCGAAGATCGGCGTTGATTTCTTCTCCATCCACGGTTGCACGTTGATCTCTCCACGTGTTAATCGCTCTCCGGGTCGAATCATGATATCTCGTCCAGGCATGATTGCTCGCAGTTCCTGATAGTCCGTTACAAGACAACGTGGTACTCTTGACGCAAATCACCCTACATACGCACATAATTTTAGTTCTAAAAGCTGAACAACAAGTAGCTACATAACCTAAGTAATTCTTGAGTATTTACCTGAGCGGTGTTTGCATCTTGAGTTAACCCCTTCATTGACGAAGCGATGCGTAGTTCATCCGCATGTACAAATGTTCAACGAACGGAATCTCATTATCGTTAATTTTATAATACTCGTCACGAATCAACTGTTTGCTGTGAACATGGCCGTTGTCACGTTGTACTGGTCGCGAATTCGTAACGTAACGAACAGTAACGAACGGTGTGTCCCCCACCACCGGTACTAGACATTCGAAGCACGTCGGAGCATGCGCGTGAAGAACGACCGTTAGCAGTACCGTATCCATGGCAACAGGAGAGGTGCTATGGCTATTGTAGTTACGAGCGCGAAATTATGAATACATTTGTCATTATTTATATACTGTCTATACTTGTATATTGTCTCTATACGTTGTCCTATATTTATCTTTAAATCATGAATATATTTGTAAAATTCTGCAGGGGTAAGGTACTTTTTTTCTAGTCGTGCGTATACTTCATTGCCTGTCTAGTAACAGCAGTAGTAACTATTATCGCTACGAACTTGGGTGCACTGAGACATTGTTTACAGCACTGGGATTTATTCTCGAGTATTAATTAACACACGTATTGCTTAACCAGAAAGCAATTTTAATGTTTATGCTATTCACTTTACTGTAAATATTCGTTATTAAATATTAATTCGAATTGATAGCCATCTAGCGGTGTGAAGGTGGAACTATTTTACAGAGTTTGGTCAGCGCCTCGGAAGAAAAGGAACTATCGAGGACAAACTTGAGCGTTTTCCCGATAGAGGCGCTGACTTAAACTCCCATATAGTTATCACTAGTAGTAAGTTCCTATATTGTATAAGATTTGTATCACTTGACCAGGGCATATGGACCTGAATTGAGAAAAATAGTTGATGGCGACATTAATTTTCCGCGGGAAATTTAAATTCATTTATAATTAATTTAATCAAAGTTCATTGTAAAAAGAGTAAAAACCACATAAAAATTCGTCAAGTTATTCTAAAGATTAGCCCGAACAGACAGACGCCTACCAGAGACTTTATTTTATACTACATAGAGATAGAGATTGGAATAAACAAAGGAGAATCCACTGGATAGGGTTAAAATAATTCATTTATTAATGTTTCCTGTCGCAATCGGTCTGAAAAAAAAAAATGCTGGCGTATCGTTTCTTAAACGTAACAAGTTATAATCTGTAATAATTATTCTACTTCGTTTTCCATTGATAATTAAAAAAACGATGCAATATCGTCTCAGCTACCCCACTTTCCGGTTCTCACAATAATTCTGGAACATCCTGCATACGTAGATTCCGTTGTTTCTTGTAAAATGATTTATTTAGACAAGAGTTTAATACATCGAAACAAATGTTGCACAACCGTGTAAAAGGCACATGATGCGTTCGTTTCCACAGTACAATAGTACCATGACGATTCATGTATAACAAGGTGGTGTATAGCATATATATATATATATAAAAGGAAAAGTCTTCGCACCGTTAGTCACTTGTCTCGATAAAGTGGAAGACGTTAACGACACAATTTTACATATTTAATTCGCCCTAAGAATCCAGCTGCTGCTCCAGATGATACTTTGTTTCGCAGAGCTTCTGCAATCTCGATATGCCCTTCTCTCGATTATCACCGTACCTCACTTCCCAAGCGTCGAACAGCATGTTGTAATACCTTGGAACGTCGAAATACTGCAGGTATTCGTAGCTATCGATCGTAGGGAATATTTGCTCGAACTTGTCGAGCTGCGTTAGCTCGTCCTCGTACATAATCAAGTGTCTAACATCGTCGGGAGTGAGATCCTTAATTATATCGTCCAGATAATCTTCTCTGTTTTTTACATTAGCGTACAAGGATTGCTTGTGTCGTTCCTGGTAACTGAGATCGGCCCTGTGCAGCCTAAAGTCCTGACACACGACGTCCAATTGGTACTTTCTCGCCAGCTTCTCCTCTTCTTCGGTGGAAAGAGTATGCGGCAGTTGATATCCAGCTATGTTAAATACGTTCTTAATTAGTGGCCCTTTCACAGCGATGTCCAGGGGCGAGGACGACTGCAACGATGGCGAGATGTTTACCTCTAGCAACCAAGGCTTCAGATTCTCATCTAGGAGAATATCCACTCCAAACAGCTCGTAGCAACAGTACCTCGACGATATGTTTGTCCTTGATAGAGTATTTATGGACGATTCCCCTGCGATCATCGTCTTAACCACTATGTCCTTCATGGACGCCCACAGTTTAGATACGTTCACGTGTTCCCTCTCGAGGTACGACCACAACGTTTTCAAGGTCCACTTGTGGCCTGAACAGGAGTCCACGCAGTCATTGCTGGTATACGTGGCACTGGTTTTGTTGATGCTGTAATTAGTCAGGTGCATAAAACGGTCGCTGAGGTAGTTTATGTCGTCTGTGTACTTGACAGAGGCGAATCGAACGAGCCCATCAGGGTATATGTATATCCTCAAGGGATTGAAGCTCGTAACGAGGACGTAGAGACGCAGGTCGAACTTTGCCCCGCTGATGAGTTTTGGTTTGGACAGGTACTGTTGGACGACCACAGCACGTTTCTTTGGTATTTGCGACCAGCGGTGCACCACCTTGATCCCAGTTCCCCTAGCAGACGCTGGTGGCTTTATGATCCATTTCTCCTTGTTGCCAGACTTCTCCCAGACCTGCCTGAAGCAACGAAGGTCCTGAGGTAGTATGTAAGTCCTTGGAACGAAACCAAACTCGATTTTCCCGTGCTTCGCCATCATTCTGCTGAGATTGCGCCAGAGGCGGTCCTTCCTGCCTATTTGGAAGGTTCCAGGGAAATGGTTCACCTTTTGCGACTCCTTCAGGGTCTTGAAGCAGGCAGACTTCATGTGCTTGCCCCAAGTGCCGCACCACTCCTGTGACTTTTTCATCAGACGAAAGCCTGAGTTCACCAGGGTGCGTCGCACGATTAAGGGAGTGATAGTGCTCAGACGCCACTTCATGTGTCTGGTTACTTCGTAGGGCACTATGGGGCCCTTGACGTCGAAGGATTGGAAGGAGATGTAGGGCCCCACGTTGGGGAAAAGGCTCCTCCTGAAGGGCATCGACCCTTTCTCATCGTCCAAGTCGGTTAGCTGATCGATGGTTAAGTAATTGCGGTCGATGTCGATGTAGGGCAGTATTTCCTCCACATCGGGCTCGTACTGGCCCTCGATGTCACCTCCATCGATGCTGCTCGCGATGCTCGCGATCTCGCGATGGTTGTACGCTATTACGTCCATCTCGAACAATCTGTAACATCTGGGGCACAACGTGTATATTAGTTTCACGTGTTTGGGCATTCTCAAGATTTCGTTGGTGTTTTATTGTAGTTGGAGAAGTATCATTGGTAGGTTTTGCTGTGGCTACAGAAAATATTGCTATGTTTTATCTACTTTCCAGTGGACTAGTGGCATTTCCAATGGGGATGCCAAAGAATTACAGAGGCAGGTATGGAAACAAAGTAGTGGAGAATCATTTATCTGATCTTATTTGTGAACAATCTTCATCCATGCAATGTTGTGCTGGCTGTTGGTAAAACATTCAAGGAAGTAAGGATATGATAGAGATGGAAATATCTTCAGGAGATGCTCCGAGAAAGTATTCAAAATCCAAATATAGTAAGGAGACACTTACTGCACCTAAAAAGAAATTGAAATGAAATACTAACGGCTCTTGTGATACAAATAACAAGTAAACATCAAGGAATCGACGACCAAGGGGAGATTGAATACTTACTCGAGATCCACGGTCAAGAAAAAGGATAGGAAGTCAGCCAGGGATACAAGAGAATTGCCAGAATTGATTTACGAAGATCCGGTTAAAATGTTTGAAATTGGGGATTACCTACGGATAAGGAACGAAACATTAGTTACATATTAGTTATAGTAGATACTGTGGAGATTCTTATTGATAAAATTAAGGAAGAATTAGTTGGAAGACAAGTATTTTACTGTTTGATTCATCGAAATAAAATGTAAAATTTGATGCAATTAACTTTCCTAGGATCCAAGGACAAAGCCATTTTTTTTTCCAGGAAAGGAATAATGCAAGTGTTTATGGATAAATGAAGAAAAATCATGAAATTAAAATTAATATCATTAAAAACTCATGAAAGATGACATAAGGAGTCTATAAAAATTAAATTGAAATATTTTTCAGTTGTCGAAAGTGAAGATTAAAAGGTACAAAGAATAAACTATCGATGATTCTAGCATACCATTAGAAGCATTCGGTAAAATATGTATGGATCGTCCTATAACCTCAAAAGAGAATGTATATATCACCTGGTCGCATTAATTTCTTTTTGCTGCAAAACATCTCCAGAAAGTCACTAGTATCGTTTCTCTCTCTTCTCAACGAGCATCTTCTTGCTTTACGATGTAATTAAACCAATTAAAATATTTGAACTTTGGTAACTATTCGAACAAAAGTAATTTAGATTAACCTATCGCTAATAAATGACCTCTATAGGTAAAAAATTATGATGTTCCGATCAATGTTAATTAAAATATAGGATGTCGATGAAGGATTTTTATTTTTTCAAGTATCTCGATATCAACAATAAAAGTCTGCGTTGACTTTTTAATTAGCGTTGTTCGAAAGAATATAAATATGGATTGTAATGGGAGTTATGATCTTTGGATAATAGTTTTATCGTGGTAGCGATAGGAAGAATAGGAAACGAAACTTGAGGAATGATTTTTTTTTATTAAACATATGCTCAGAATTTAGCTTTAGGTATATAATGTTTTCCAAATAATTTTCGAGCAACAAATGATATTAATTTTTTAGGGACTATTCAAACTAAAGGCATTTGTAAAGTGACCTGAGCATAGAGGCAACCAAATAAACAAAATTTGAACATTTCTCGATATAATTTACATAATTAAATTACGTAACGTTGGAGTGTAAAATAATTCATGCAGGTGCAAATACAGAAATGTTTACAGGCTATTTACTTAAATTACCGTAAATATTCGTTATTAAAGTTTAATTCGAATCGCTAGCCATCTAGCGGTGCGAAGGTGGAAAACTATTTTACGTAGTTTGATCAGCGCCTCTATCGCGAAAACGTTCAAGTTTGTTCTTGATGGTTTCTTTATTCACTGCCAGATGACACCATTTTACACTCTATTGCAGGGATTCTACATAAAAGAATAACGAACACGAACATAAAACCGAACTTTATCGACAAGATGATTTATTTGAACAAAAACAATAAATTAAGATTAACAATTTGAATTCAAGGAGCTGATTAAAAATACGTCTGAACTGAACAATGGTGGTTGTTAAGGGAATGTTAAAAATAATTGCTACTAACTGAAAAATGAGCTATAAAAGATAAACATGCGCGATAAAAGAAAACGCAATTAAAATCTGCCGTGCTCAAACCCAATTACAAACAATTAAATGTGAAGTAAAGTACATGTAAAAAATCGATAAATAACCCTACACTATATACCACCTTATGGTAAAAATGGCGCCATCTAGCAGGGAAAAAGAGAATTATTGAGGAGAAACTTGAGCGTTTTCCCGATAGAGGCGCTGATCGAACTCCGAAGATACTTCGGTCTATTCACCGCGAGATGGCGGCACTAATTTCCCGCGGGAAATTCAAATTCATTTATAATTAATTTAATCAAAGTTCATTATAAATGCATAAAAACCACGTAAAAATTCGTCAAGTTGAAGATTAGCCCGAATAAATAAACAGACGCCTACCAAGGACTGTTTTACACTGTGCAAAGATATCGATGAAAATGAATGATGAAACCAGGAATGAAATGTATCTTACAAAAAAATTGAAGAGACGGAGATCGGAATAAATAAACGAGAATTCACTGGATGGGGTTTGAATAATTCATAGGAAATATAAACGAGAATGAATAATAAATGAATAATGTAATGAATAATGTAAGGAATAATGAAATGAATAATAAAATGAATAAAGTAATGAATAATGTAATGAATAATAAAATGAATAATGTAATGAATAATGTAATGAATAATGTAATGAATAA